CAGTGCGCATCTTTTTTTCAAACGCTTCTGAGTGAAATGCACTAAACTGTTATTTCAGAAGGCAAATGCAAACTGGGCTTCTGCGCACCTCCCAATCCGTGTGTGTCTAAGTCCCGTGTTCTTCACAGACCGCGGGTGTCGTGTCCTGTTGGTGCAGACTGTAATGGAAACTGGAAACACGGGCTGCAAGAATACCTGTTGCACGTCCTAGCTCGGTACACACACTCCCACTCGCGTACACAAACTCGCAAAACATCCTGTTGATCTGTTTATGAAGGGAAAATACGTGGAATTAAAAAAGGGAACGTTTATTTTTTTGTGTGAAGAGGAAATCCTTCTGGGATTCGAGGCGTGACACCCTGTGCCCTGCGCAGGTCTTGCGGGAGCGCGAGCGCACACGCGCGGCGCGCAGACCGGGCAGCGCTCGAGCGCCGGCCGCTGCAGTCACTCGCGCTGCACACCTCATAAACAATAAACAGCCACAAATGACTGTCAGCCACCGGCGACTCATTGCGCTACTTTCGGTCTTACCTCGGTACATCCCCGCAGAATTGCGGTTGGAATTCACAGAAGAAAATGTTTAAAATAGGATTATTATTCAATTATTATTATTATTAACACCCTTACCGTGATTTTGTTCTAAACATCATAAACAAACTACAAAAATAACAAAAATGCACTAAGTTCTCTGAAACACTGTTCTATAATACTAATAATAATTCTAACGCAATAACGTGACAAACACAAATTCCGACGTGTATCAAAAAAGGTGATTTCATATCATAGTCCACAATCAAACTAAATGATAGATGATGCTGTTAAAGATACACAACTCCCAGGCTGAGCTGCTGAAGAGACAGATGAGACACACTCGGGAGTCATGTTAAGGACCACAATGGACAGGAAATCCGAAGTTGCACTGCATTTACGAAATACTACTCTACGAAATAACCCATAAAATACCTCAATTGCGTTTTGAGCGCAGAGTGCTCTATGTAAGAGATGTGTACAAATCGCAAGGCGGGGTACACCTGGACTAGATGCCAGGCCAGACACACCGGGGCCAGTATACTCACTAGCCAATTAACCTACCAGTATGTCTTTGGGCTGTGGCAAGAAATCCACACGAATACGAGGATCACATGAACGCCACACAGAAACACCCTGGTTCCGAAACCGAATCCGGGGCCCCAGCGCCGAGAGCTAGCAATGCTTAACCGCTCGTTTTTAGTCGTGCTGCTATAGTCTTATAATCGAAATACTTAAAGGTGCAGCGGTGTCCTTTACAGTATATACTGTTGGGAAAGGTTTTACAATAAGACTCGGAGGACGGGCTTCACAGATCCCGATAAGCCCCAGTTCGGGATCCGCTGTGAAGTGGGACAAATGAGTTCAGAGCAGCGCTACTGAGGGGCTGTGCGCTGCTGCCAGGGCCTGGCACCACCCGGAGAGGCCGTTTCACTGGAACTTTACAAAGAGAAGGCTCTTCCGAACTAAATATAATTCTCAAACATGTTTCCGGGGCCAGAAATTGGGATATCTATAAGGTGAAAGGCCTGGTTTTACGACCACCGAAAACAAATCCTAATAAAAGCCAGGTATCAATTTGACAATAACTCGAATTTGTAAAGCCCCGTCGCATGGGGTTTGAGTCAGAGCTGAAACGTGTTAGGGAACATTCCTCCGCTGTTATCGGTATGAACTACATCATCTGCACGGTTAATGAGTTTTACGAAGATTTTTTTTTTGAGTACCGTGGTATTTTCATGAAACCTTACCCTTCAGGAGAATGATTACTACAGCCAAGCGCCTGCCGGAGCACTCTCTCTCAGTACTTATCGCAGGGACGCGTCACGGGCTCCAAGAGAAACACGCGGGTCATCCTCTCGTCACCTGCGGGACCTGCTCTGTAAACCCCACACACTCGTCTGCCCCAGCACGGTAACATTCCGCTACACTGCCTGCGACGGATACTTTTACTTTTAGCTTGCTAACAGCTGGTTAAGATTAATCGCTCCCATTTTCTCGTTTAGTTGAGAAACAACAGAACTTACAAATTGGCAGAAAATATCCTCATAAAGTACTTTAGATTTAGAAAACCACTTTTTATTAAAAAGAAAACAGATAATCTGCCCCCTAAATGAACAAAAACTTGTAACAGCACGCTCTCAATAACTTCGACTTAGTTCAAATGGAAAGTTTCCCCCCTCGAACCTTCACCGAGCTACTAACCATCCCTATTGTAGCGTTCAGGTTATTCCTTAACTGATAAAGCAAACCTGCACCCTCATCCATGTCTAAAAATGCTCTTCTTCCAAAGCACCCAGGTTTAAGAGGGTAACATGTATTTCACATTTTAACCAGCTGTACCACAGGACAGGGATACAGAGAGCCATGAGACACAGGCGGGGAGAGAGAAGCTTGGGGTCAGAGCGCAGGGTCAGCCATTTAAACAGTGCCTCTGGAGCAGTTGAGGTTAAGGGCCTTGCTCAGGCGCCCAACGGAATAGGATTCCTCTGCCGATCATGGGATTTGAACTGGCAACCTTCCAGCCACAGGCGCAGATCCTTAACCACAGTGCCACCGCTCCTATATCAGGGTTGGTCGACCCTGGTCCAGGACAGCCACGATGCAGCAGATCTTATAGGTCACCAGTCATTAGTTGTGAACACTTACATAGGAGGTTTGATCAATTTAGTAAGTTAAACGGTTCAGCAGTCACAAATGAACTGTTGACCTTGAGCGTGGTGGGATGTTGGAGTTTCCATTTTAAATGATCACTGAACTACTTCAGTGATTCAAATTCAACTGTTCCAAGGGTTTTCATTTTGATAGGTGCGACCCATAAAACTTTGCTTCCAGCTCCAGGATTGGCTATCTTATTTACCTCCACTTAACCAAAGAATGAACTTTCAGTAACAATTAGTCATCTTTGTACCCACTTTAAAAAAAAAAACCAACAAGTTCTCCTGACAGGTTCATGTTAAAAGGAGCATGTTCACACATACGAAAATGACTTCAGCCTGTACCGCAGGTACATTTGGTAGTGTGATGATCTTGCTGCCGCATGCGGGCGATTTTACGGACTTGGAAAAGGTGCTGCACAGTGTACTGGTCCGAGGGAGCCGGTGTGGTGTTTGAAGTGTCTCACGAACCAGGATGCAAGGGGATGTGGGTTAACAGTGGTCACAAACTCTTTGTGCTGCTGGCTCCCTGCCTGCGAGTAAATGTCTGCCCACAGCAAAGAGCCCAAACCAACATGCTGGGACATGTCTCTGTAACTAGGGCTGAAAAAAAAAAAACTACACTTATTGCATGCATGGAGGCAGTGAACTCACATGTGTGGAAACCAAGAGCAAAATAGGGCAGAATTCCAGTTAGAACTCACTAAGGTCTCATTTACAATATTCTGGTCACAAAAAAGGATATTGTTGCTTGGGAATCGGCCCAGGAAAGAGCAGCCAGATACAGAACATTCCTGGTTTTAAAGCAGTGACCTACACTGACACTAGATTAATAACCTTTTTAATCTTGAAGACAGAAGGTTATGAGAGAAATATATTCAAATACTCAGCATACAAACACATTAAACAACTACAACTCAGTGGATGTCTTCAGAATCAGCACTAAAAGATGAACCAGAGGACCCAACCTCGGCTTGTTTTGAGAAACAGCTGAATGAAATCCTTAGATGAATTCACTTCCAACAACTAATTGAGGTTGCTGGACCAAATGGCCTCCACTGTTTGTAAAACTTCCTTATATTAAAAAAAAAAACCGTGCACAACTAGGGTTTTCAATAATATGTAAATACCATTTATAATGTTAAGAAATTTGTATAATTAAGCTCCCTAACCTAGACCCATACAGAATGTTTTTCAAAATGCTTCCAACATTTCTCTCTCTTTGGTCTTATTCCAGATAATCTTTGACTCGAGCTCTTAGCTGAACTAATGATTTGCTAACTAAGCCTTTTAAACTATTTCAGCACATACTGTAAACTACTGAAAACGTCAACATGTTAAAACTACAAGTAAGCTGAAACCAGCACGGTCTGGGAGCCTGAAGGAGGGAGTGGGGGGGTGTTGCTGTTTGGTCGGAAGACGCTGAGCAGAACCTAGCTTTGGGAGCAGAGGACAAATCTGTTTATACAGGGGAATCAGCGGGAAGGAAACACCCACGACTCGATTCGAGGTACGAAAACAAAACTAATCAAAAACAGATCGTTTTACAATTGCTGAAAAAGGCGGCTTGCAGGAACTCTGCTATATTTATGCCTGTCAGGTCAGGGGTAGCTTTTCAGTGTATTAGTTTAATTTAAGAAGGTATCATGATTGATTCCGAGTTGGTTGGCTACTCATATAATTATCTTTCTGCCTGGAAAAATCTTTCTGCCTGGCTGGAATGCTTTACATACTAGGTGAATATAAATACTGAGGTTCACTGCTCCATTTCCTCAGGGAGTCGCCCTTTAAAAATCTCAGTGTTATCATGGCAATGTGACTCACAAGTAAAGGAAAATCTTTTCCCCCTTGTTGGTCAATCTGTTTTGTCTTAAGGAGAAGGACAACTTATCTTCCAGCTAACATTAATTCATACATTTATAGTACTATGTTTATCAAAAAGGATTTTCTCCATGAGTTTACTCTCTTTGAATGAGAAAATAAAATCCCCCATTTTTTTAAATGCAGGAGATGACCCAGTTATATGTGCATTATAAAGTGAACACATTATCTTTGACTGGAGAAAGCAAGTGAAAAAAAAAGTCCCTTTTTACCAGGTGCAGTCCCAACGACCCAGATTAGCAACATGTCCATACATAAGCACCTTCTGGTGCAGCTTGTGTCTAGAGTTCTGTACCATCCTGTGACCCTCAAGACACTTGTTCACAGTTTAAATAAAGTCAAAGAGTTCAAAAAAGGGGTGGGGGAGTGACAGTGAAGTTAAGCTACAGAATGTCCTTCACTAGAATAACCTGACAATTCAAGCATGTTCACAGCTGGTTTGTAAACAATCCTCCTGTATTCACTCTGGCTTTGAGGGATAAGTACAGAAACAGCAGGAGTCACCAGCACCTGCTACACCTACGCAGCAAATCTAGTTTACAGCTTACAGTTTCTTAATATTAATGTGAACACTGGAAACTCCAGCACGCACAATGACCAGTTACACATTAGATTAAATTTATACTATGAAACAATGCATTCCTGTGACCTTTTGTGTCAGTCGACAATATCTCAGTCCTGTGACCATTCAAGAAAACCAAGTTGTGTTTCAGCAATGCCAAATTACTTTAATTTTGTTTCGCGGTAGGCTATTCATTTGTCACAAGTTCCATTTGACTAAAACGCTGCATAGGATAAAACACTATAGATCACTAGTGACACCTAGTGGCTATTTTTAGTCAATTTCTTAAATGTCTAAAACTGATGAGTCTCAAGAATGTTAACAATCGGTGTACTTTTAGGAAGTTCATCAGCTGACCTTTACAGAAAAAAGTTTCACGGGTTTAAAAAAATACTGAAAAAGACTTTTTTTTATTTCTCCTCCTGTACAATTTTCAGCTCTGAAACTCACTATTTCTTTACACTGGAGTTCCCAGCATTAAGATGTCATGTAGCATTTGCTTGGGGTCAAAACACTGCAAAATGGGAAAACGTATTTGAGGTGGGGAAAAAAAAGTTGTTTCTTGAAAACATTCTACAGAAACAATGCAATAAAGTGCATCAGTTATTTTAATTACATAAGTCAATGTACTATTTACAGTCAGTACTGACAAAATTACTTGTACCTCTCCTGTAAATAGTCTACAACCAAAACATCACAGCAAGAGCTTGTTGAGCGCCACAGCCCCGTCCGCTATAGCTCAGGAAGGTGGGGTGAGTCACGCTGCAGACAGACAGAAGCGGGTTCTAGCAGCCTTGAGATCTGCACCGCTGTGTAGGTTTAACAGGTAAGCTTCAAGTCATCAACAAGAGGCCTTGGAATGATCCTTTTCATCAAGAAAGTAAATGATGTAGCAAAGAGAAAGCTGATGTGGAATAAACCCACTGACCTGGACTGAACTGGAGCTGTTCATCCCTTTACTTTTTGGTTAAGCCTCATAAAGGCAAGAGCATCTTTTAAATTATTAGCATAAGACGGATTTATACACTCATGACAGTTTATGTAACTTTTTATGATCACTACAAATGTATGCTCTTCATGGGGTGTTTTAATCAGCAACTGACAAATAGCACTTCAGTTAGTATGATTGAATGTGTCGGAGAAGGGGGGAAAACACTTCTCAATGTATTTAAGCAGATCCTGAGGATATCTAGCTGCATTAACATAAGACTTCATCTTGCTCAGACTCCTTAGAGCAGGCTGGGCTAGGAAAGAAATATGTGCAGGGAAGAAAGTAAGCAGGGTGCTGAATATGGCATTCACTACTTTCATGACAGCGCTGACTTGGTTAATCTTCTCCAGCAGTACTAGACACTTTCATTATCACAATCCATCCTCAGCAGAAAGTTCCTGAATTTGTTTATACCCCTACTGTCTCTCCATCTCTGACGTGGCCAGGCCATCAATTTGTGATGATATATTGTGAAGGTTAGTCATAAGACCAGACTGGTTTTTGTAAAAATCTTGTGCTTCTCAGGTTGTTTAAACAGCGATTAGAACTTCCCATTGTACAAGTTTGAATACCACCTTGAGTCCCTTTGACAATCCTTGAGTTTCTCATCACCACAATCAGAATCTGGGACACCCCCACCCCTCCCACAGTTACTGGATACTGGCTCTCAGTGTTCTGTATTTCTACATCACAAGTAGGATTGAACCACCTCTTAAAGTGAAACCAAAAGTTCAGTCTAGTAGACATTCCCAAAAGCACGAGTTCATTTTGGGAGAGGCCCCAGAGGAGACTGTACTATCTTGGGAAGCTTGGTCACACAGGCCTGCTTTCTGAAGCACTCTGTCTCTCTGAGAGCCAGTCAACAGACCAGAAGTCCTTCCTTGGCAGCCAGGCGCCGTCGGTGGATGTGGTCCTGCTCCAGCTCTTCGTGACTGGGGTGCCACAGCCGTGCCAGGATACGCTCCATGTTGAGGGCATACACAGTGTGAGAGGGCATGACCTCCCGGTGAACCTGTGAAGAGCAGTGGCCAGTCAGGGACGAACAGCTCATCAGCATTAACATGAATTTCCACTGAAAGTATTTGTTCTTGAAGCTCCACAGTGGTTCTGAATGCCACAAGAATCCAGTTCACACTGGATGTCTGCTTAGAGCAGCAGCCCCCGATTTTATTTTTTAGATGATAATTTGTAAATGTTAAGTTAATACCATATTCAAAAAAGGAACCATTACTTATAACACTTAAGTAAAATATTAAGGGATTTTGATTTTTCACTTGTGACAAATGCATGCACAGCAACTGGCAAAGTGACTAATCTTTTCCCTAGTTTCCATGCAAACTCAAGTAAGTTAAAAGGAGCTGACATGCTGTAATCGCCATCATTAGGCAGCTATAAAACTATCTTGCTAACATGCCCCCCTGGTGTCCTCCATACCTGCAGTGCCTCCAGGAGGTCCGACATGTTGATAGGGGGCAGTGGGGGAGGGAGGCGGTCTCCTGAACAGGCCAACAGGAGTGCAGCCTGCTGCTCTGCCTCATCTGGCGACACCTGGGGGGGCGGCCCTGCCGGCAGAGAGGCGCTGGGGGGAGGACTGGAGAGAGGAGGTTAGAGGGAGATCATACTGCTACTGGGGCAGAGGAGATAGAAAGACCTTTCTAAAGCACCTTTTATGTACACACTTCTGAAAGCATAAGACAGGCACAAACAACACAAAATAAACCCACACTAAAACCAATGAATAAAATAAGCGTTTAGGCTAGAATACAGAACATGTGAGTTCACGTCTTGACCTCATCTGTCCAGTATACACATGGATTCCACAAGGATGCACACAGTCAATAGCCTGAGCTGCAGCAGCCAGCAGCAACAGCAGATCTGTGAATTCCTGTACAAACGAGATATCCGAACAGCACTAATGGACCATAGTTAGCCCCAATAAATCTAAACTCTTCTGTTAAGCAGGTTTAAACACACTGTGGAGGCACAGCCCCCAAAAAGACAAAAAGAGCAGATGGAACAGCGGTTTTGAAGGTTTACAGGTTAAAGTAAAATAATTCAAGTAAAACCATATCAAACAATTACAGAACGTAAAAAAAGCATACCCACACATATGCTTCCAGTAAGGAGAAAGAAGCTACAAGAAATCTGTAAAAAGCGGCTGCAAAAATGTTTAAACTTGACAAAAGTGAGAATTACTGAAAAAATAAGCGAGCAAAAGGGGAAATTCTTAAGTTTTTCCCCACTTATTAGCATTCGAGTTCCTGTAGCTTGGAAAGGTGTGAGACAGTGACGCACCCTTCAGTCAGGCTGAGCCAGGAGCCAACTTCCTCTCAAAGCTACCGCTGCTCCATGTACTGTACTGTCACAAAGCTGGCCTGGTCGATACCCACACACACACACACTCGCCCTCCCACACATAGTGCCAGAGGGTTTACTAAAGCCAGAGGTCTGAGCTGAGCTACACTTGGTGGATAACTGTGGGGTATGAATACACATAGCCTATTAGCAGTGTGTTGTGGAGGAGCACCACAAGATGCGAGTTCTATAGCATAATACGGGCACAGCAAGTCTGACACTGCATTGGTCTGACACGTGCAATGTAATGAGATAGTTTTGTGGGATAGCCAGTGTGGATTAAGAAGGCAGATCCTGTTAGATTTCTTTAAACAAAGAAGTGCAGCAAACAATAGATACTACTACAACGTCATATACCTTGTGATTTGCAAAAGATAAATTTAATAGACAAAATAGCTTTAAGAATCCCAAAAAATATACATGTTGATTAAACTAAGAGGTCTGCAGAAAACTGTACATTGTAAATTAAAGATATAACTGTATCCTTAATTTACAATGTGCTGTTATTATATAATGGTTATCTCAAATTGCACACATACAAAGGGATGTTTTTTCAAATTTTATGAAACTAGATACTGGATATCCAAAAAAAACTGTTTTATTTAGAAGCACAAAATGAGAAACAGACACACCTAAAGTGTAAAGAACTAGGGTGCATGTACTGTTTTAATTTACATGTCTGCTTCAATCAAAATGATCTTGTGTTCCTGTGGAACACATTTCTGCAGCTTTGCACAGCTTTGTTCTTCTGTTATTTTTGCATATGCACATTTTTCCACAGCTCAACAACACTTCAAACATCAGCTGTAGAAAACCGTGTAGTGACAGAGAGACCAAGGGTAGACTCTACGTTAAATTATTTTACCAGTATTTTAGTTTCATAACATTCTATAGTGTTAAAAAGTTCTTCTGTATCAAATTTAGAAACTGCCTTCATAGGCAAGAGCAGTGCGATATGTCCCAGGCCTTCCTCACCACTCTGTGCAGCTCTGGTAGGCTGCCACACTGTTCTTCAAGTAGGGCTGCGGTGTGATGTCACTACCGAAGGCGTAGGGGAAGTGCCCGTCACGCAGTCTGTACGCCTTTCTCCGGGAGACCACGGCTGTCAGGACATCTTTCAGGTGGTGCTGGAACAGAGAGGGAGGAAGGGGGTCTAGACGTTTTGTATGCATAAATGTTTCACCTTTCTGTCTCTTTGTAGTTTTTGGGTGAACTGGTAATGCTGGCTTTGAAGTATACACTTGGGACAGCCGTGCAAACCTGAAGAACAAAGAACACCTGACTACCAGTTTCAGAAGCGCAAGCCAGAATGTTCCCTATCTCCAGTGGAGACTCGAGCCTCGACTCCAGCCAGCCTGCTCACCCTTCACTCAACGGTCCTGCTGAAGTGGCAATGTGTAGTCCTGAGAAAGGGCCACCCATAGCTGAATTTTCTCAAATTGTCTAAAAGCCAGATTGTATATATTACTGTATGCAGCCTACAAGTGTGAGCATTTAACAATGAAAGCAAAAGTTTAATTTTTTAAAGAAAGATAATTCTACCATGACAGAACGGTACATTAACAAATTCAAGTTAAGAAACTGCCATTGCAAGCTGATCATGCCACCGAGTGGGTCTGTATTACAGTACTTGCAGACTTATAAATATCCATTTATGAAATAAAAGTGCTCTTGTTCATCAAAAACTAAACTTGACAGAACAAGATCAGCACAATTAGCACTGCTCTACTATACTGTGCCACCTTGTCAGAATCAGCAAAACTGCTAATTTACCAAATAAGTCATGGTAAAACTTTATTCAAAAAGCAGAACAACAGAAGACAATCTTATTTTGGATGCATCATGCCTTGTGTTTTCCTATACTGTGCTTATTTAAAATAATGTGTATATACCTAAGTTTGTCTCCTGCCCCTGTTGCATTAACGCCCACAACATTGTAGAGTTTTATATATGATGTACTGCCTATGCGCTTAATGGCCTCTATATACGCTGCCTGACATCCAGTAACACAGTAACATATCAATATAACAGTATTTAATGTGATTTTTACACAAAAGCAATTAGTTTAGAACAGAGGTGAGCGAACCTGGTTCTTGAGGATCGTTTTTGGTTTCCCTTTAATATATACGTTAATTATTTAATTGAACCAAATCAGTTGTTTTGTAAGTTTTTATCAGGTGCCATTTGAAAGGTGCTTTTAAAATCAGCAGGTATTCAGCACTTGAAAACAGGTTTGCATATGATCTAGAATGTTTAAAGTGCATTGTATACCTGCTTTTCCAAACTGACATGATATTTTGAATGTTATATGCATATCTGACAGGTTGCATTAAGATGGGATTGCTATTGGGCACTAGAGACCACAAAAACCAACCTATAAAGACAACAATTCTTCCACTGTGTGCCATCCTTGTATCCAGAGACCTTGCAAAAGCCTGTAAGAAAACTTTGCTTTCCAAAACATAGGTAAAACTGTTATACACTGCAGCGAGTAAATCTGTGAATACCTAAATCCAATGTTTCTGGCAGCTCCTAGTGGCAGTTCCTTTGCTGCAGTATCTGCAGGCAACTTATCACATATTCTACTACAGAGCTCATCCCTACAACATGCATAAGCAACTGCCTACTAAAACACAACATGGACAGAAAAGAGGGAACAATCCCAGATGGCTGTCCTCCTTCTTGAATCTATCTAGAGCCGGCGGAAAAGGGTCCCAACTTTCCCTTGCAGTGGTGCATGGGGCACTCCATCTTGGAACCTTAATGTAGAATACTGTTGCAAGGTCAGCTCTTTAGGGGTACAGCTCTGAGATCCTTACATTCCAATGGCTAGACAGGCAATCCATTATCTGGCAGTGCTCATTTACTGAAGATTTCAGGAAGGTACCATGTACAAAGGATGGTACAGGCAGGGTGTTGATGTCATGGCATCTTATCCCTCTGAAGACAACAGGCTGGATGTCAACAGCCTGCTGACACCCTACCCCACTGGAACTGCTGGGCGGGACACTGGCAGGACATCCCCGGCCACTGAAGACATAAGGCAGGAGGCCAGTTACCTGGAGATACTCTCTGGTAATGGGTAAAATGTCAGCTCCTCCTGGGAATACTGGGAAGGATGCCAGCAGAGGCAGGGCAGCAGCCAATAGTCTTCCTCCTTCCGCTCCAGAGGTTAGGGCAGTGGAAGAGGCAACTTGTACTCCTCCTCTTTGTGTAGAGGCAAAGGCATGGATGAAGCTGGAACACTCACCACCTATGGAGGCCCACCACTCACCACCTATGGAGGCCTTCTGACTCATGCCACAATGGTTTCTTTTTGCTCCCTCAAGGGGCCTCCTGGGACTCCTCGCTCTGCAGCCTCACTACTGACAACGTTTGGTGCCTTTTTGGCAGTCCCTTCTGTCAGCTTTCAGCTGGAGTTTCTTCCTGTCCCTGCGTATGCAGTCTGCTAACTCTCTCATCCAAAGCTCTAAACATACGTCTGTTCCCATTGAACAGAAAAGGCTGTTTACCGAGATATTCTTTGGTTTCCACAAAGCAGGCATGTCCCCACCACCCCAGACTGCCAGCCACATGTTGCTGGGCAGTGGGACAACTGCACACGGCAGCCAGTCTACACTTCTTCTGCACCAACTTCTAGACACTAACTGAACCGTGCAGGTGGAAAAACATAAGCAGCATATCCCGGATACAATTAATATGTTGTCTTTCTGACAACTCTAATTTCTAAAAACCCAGATATTTTCATTTCTGTTTTTTTAATCAACAAAAAGTTTGTTTGAATAGCTGACAATTCTTCCCAGGAATACTGTTTAAAAAGACAGAAACAAAGTAAATAAAACTTTAAATAGAATAATTATGTCATAAAATTGCAAATAAGGGGTAGCTTTTATTGGGTTTTGGGAAGCGATGGAAAATAGCATTGTATTTGTCTATTTCAGCACATAGTTTAGGCAGCCAGTAACAGATTTTGGATAAGTCTTTGAAGTGGGACACATCAGCATATATTCAAGGTCAAAGTGCAATTACTTAATATGTATGGAAAAAGTACTGGTATATGTTAAGTATACAGCTTTGTATTGGTGAACACACCACCACAAGGTCTGTTAAAATAAAAGAACCATCTTTGTAGAGGAAAAATAAATTGACCTGTGCCTAACGAAGTTATCAAGAGAAAGAGCAAACAACTTCAAAGAACAGGATGCAAACCTCTTGAGCATGAAATGAGCCAAACTCATTTAGAAATTAGAAAACAGACTCAACGTACACTGCTGTACTTATTGAACTCAATAAAAATGAATCTCCGCAAGACCGTGTCCTGCTCTTCTAATAAAGGATTGAATTTTTTTAAACGTTAGTGGAATTTTTTTGTAACTGTGAACCTATTTCCTCATGAACTGGTATATGTTAGCAACTAAACTGATATAAGTTTTAATTGTATAGGCACCTGCTCCACACCTTTGTTACATTATTATATGGCAGGCAGGGGCACCTTTCCAAATGGCTTGCTGGTGTGGGCAGATCTGGACCTGGGCATCAATGAATGGCTGCAGAGATCTTCAAATGAGCAGCCAGCCCTGAATTTCATTGTACTGGCCGATATGCATGAGTTCGTACGGTTAGATGGACTTCAGCCATCACTGTCCTCAAGAACCCTGCAGGATGTGACTTGGTACAAGAGTAGACTTTGTTGCTTTCAAATTTGTTGTATAAGTAAAATACAGCACACTGTATATAATATTGGCACCAAGATCCAGCAGATGCCAAAATTATCAAAGATATTGATGTGATCTTGAGGGGGAGGGTCACATTTAGACCCCTTAATTACTATTATTCAAGGGGGTGAAAGAAAAGGTGTACATTAACACTGAATGCTGCTGCTTATGAGACAATTTAGTAAGGCAGCAGTGTCTTTCAGCAAATTCAGTAGAAGGGTGCGTGCCTTTCTATGACTGCGTGGAAAGGTATGACACTGATGTTAACTTACTCTCTTTCTGGGAGCACAGGGGGAACCAGGGAAAATTTGTCTCTTTAAACATTCCTTCAAGAAGGTGTATTGACTTGTCCGGGAGCAGATTTTCAGGTCTTTACAACACAGTGTCAACATACACCCCTATATTAAAGTTAAATATCTTTATGCTTGTTGGCAAACTGGCAGCTGTTCTACACTTAAAGCCAAGGTTCTTAGAATCCCTACAGAAATTCAAACTGGAAAAACTGTGTATTGAAAAAGCACCCAAGGGTTAGTCCAAAAATAGTACAGAAGAAGCTGTTGAAAAGTACCTCGTCACGTAAGAGCAGAGAAAGATCCCTCATCCTCCCACACTAATTCATACTAGATACTGGCTTGTGCCCATTTTAAAACCAGATAAAGAATCATGTATGCTTTCAAAGTGATCTCCTGCATTTCAACTGAAGTGCATCATCCGGTCTCTGATCCCTTTACTGTCCAACCACTATTCAACACTTTTCCTCGGCTGTAAATATATTAAACACACGCCGAACACCATTTCACTTCCCCATTTCAAAGCAGTGACAGAGGAGGAGGAGGAAGGACAGGGTACACTATAAGGTCTTATGCAAAAAAATAGGTTTTAAACTGGAGGGGGGTTTTGTTTCTTGCAATGTTTTGTTCCCAAATTGTCTTGAAATGTTCATGAAATTGTTCATGAAATGTAAGATATCAACAACACTGAAAAAGAAAGTCCCTTATTTCAAAACGTGCAAGAAAAGAGTGAATAATGAGTTTATCAGGGCTTCCCAGTTCCTGGGTATGCAGATCAGATGAATAAATTACCTCTAATCATAAATCATAAAGAAAATAATGCAATAAGCACATTAATTTCCTCATTACAATAAAAAGGAGCTAGCCAGTAACTGAGAAAAACTCATTTTAATCAGAGCAGAGGCACAGGCAGCTGCAGTGGAAGATCACAAAGAACTGGTGTGGAAGTTGGAACCATATTATGCCAAACCATAGTTAGTCTATCTGCAGATACCCCTGTCTCTTCTATACCTTCTCTGTGGAAAACGTGCAGGAACCGAGGAAGGTTTTTTGTAAAACAAAAAATCCTATTATCCTCCATCCTCCCCCATCCCCATCATCGTACCTCCACAGCGCAGACCAGTGTGCTGACAGCATCCTCGGTGACGTTGTCCAAGCCGAGCTCAAAGGCTGTCACCATCATCCGAGCCTCCAGCTGCCCCCTGGTGGGCAGCAGCAGCGTGTGTGCGCTGAGACGCAGCTCCTCCTCCTCCGCCCCGGCCTCCCTCGGGCTGAAGGGCTGCGCGCCGCTGAGGGGGTTCTGGGGCTGGAAGCGGTGCTGGGGGAGAGAGAGAGCCGTGGAGTTATGCAGATCACGGAAAATGAGCAAAAGACTCCCACTGCTTAGCAGCTTGACCCATTCCAGCTTCTCCAACAGCTGTACCAGAGAATTCCCATAACAAAAGGTACGAATCTCGAAATAACCTCCACCAGACGGTGGATATATTTGTGTATTTACTGGCAGTTCACAAAACCCAATATGGAACAAACTACTAAACAAGAGGAGACTTGTAGGCTTCTCTGGAATGGCAGTGGTATAATGTTGTACAAAAAATTTAGATTACATTGTAGAGGGGCAGAGTCTGAAAGAGTCTCCCTATTACCCATTGTCGTTTTATGAAATAATATGCAGAGCAAAACTTGCATGAATAAAAAAAATCCTAAGAAAAATAATATGGTTGCAGCCCTGTCAGGCCCTAGTTCCCTAAAGAGAATTTTACCTCGACCCATGTAACAAACTCAAAAAAGTGCCCCCTGGGGTACATACCAAATACAGACATGTATAAACATACAGACTACATAGCTACTCTCATAAGAATAGTAGCTGTGTAGTGTACTGTGAATGGGTTTGAGTCTACATAAGATCACAGTAAAATCCCATTTTTATGAAACAGGTCAGGTCGATTTCATTCTCAAAAAAAAAAGATTTTCATTAAGATGGGTGTTGTGTAGTTCACTCTTCACAAATTAGTCAAATAATAACGTTGGAAACTAAAATGTGTAGTCTTGCGTTTTTTCCTTCATTAACAAAAACAAAGCCTACTTCATATGGATGAATAATCATGGTAATAGATTTTATATATTATTGAGGATGGTGAGAATCAGAGAACAGCGATATGGTCAAAGAAGAAGATATATTTATTTCACAGCGGGACTATGCACGGAAACAGAGGATTCGGCGAGCAATTCAATTTCCACGAGGTAACACTCCCCAAGTCTTACAAAGTGGTGAATCCTGTTCCCGATTGCTGTTCGGATGCGATGGGAAAGAAACGACTGAACAGGGAAGTGTGTGTTCAAGTGGGAAACAGCCAGTGCCACCATGTAAAGGTCAGCTTACAACCCAGTCACTTTCATTCCGTAAAACTGGCCTTTCCACTTCAATGGCAGGACGTAAATTTGGGATTTTGCTGTACATGGTGTCAGCAGCTTACAGCGTGGAGGCCAGAGGCCAGGGCTCCCAGCACAAAGAGGGAGACAACATGCAGATGGAGACACTGGAGGGAAGGCAGGTGGAAGTGGGATTCGGTATTCCAAGCTAGGGGGAAAATGATTTGGATATGGAAGTTGGGGCGAATAGAAATACAGAGGGGAAGCTGTAATTTCAGAAGAGCAGATGGAATAAGATGGGGACTTACGTCAAATTTCTGTCTGACTGAGGAGAACTTCTTCTTTCCTTTGGGCTTCCCAGGCTTAGAGGCAGAGCCCCCAGCCCAAGGCAAAGAGCCAGGACCCTCTGAAAGACACAGGAGAAACACAATCAGGGAGAGCACACAACAGACCACAGAAGATCAAAAACCCCAAACTAAATCTGTGATTTTTCTCAACTCTATGCATCTGACAGTACCCTAATACTTTGACGTAAGAGAAGGCACAAAGATAAATAGCTGAATAATGGGATGGGAGGCAGAAAGCAGGAACAGTTTCTTTATTAGTTTCTGCCAAGAAGAAAGTACTCATAACAGCCATATTTGCAAAGCAAAAAAGGTCATGTGTCGGAGGAGCCTACCTTTTTGTAAAGTTGTAAAGGGCAGCTCACTGGGTGTAGCTCAATTTATCTGTCTGATACCTGGAAACTTGTCTTCTCCCTGGTTTTTGATCTCTCCCTATCCTTCCCTTTCTACCGTACTGCTGTCTACTGTAATACATTTCAAAATTAAATATTTAACTTAGTAATGTAAAACAAAATAATAAAATATGCTACATAAATCACAGTCACTTCCATCATTTATGGTTTAGAGACACTATATACTGGAATGCAAAACGTATCTGGGTAAGACATGATTAGAGTTACCCATTATTTGCTTTGAGTGATGGTTAAAAATTTTAACTTCTGTAAAAGATGGCTGAAGTGCGTTTTTCAGGCGTTACTGTCAAGCCTTTCACCAGGCTCCTCCTGTTTCCATCCCCTCTCTCATGATCAGAATGAATGGGTATGTGGTGACATGCAGATTCCTCTAGCTTATCCCGGCCAACTCAGTTTTGTGGCGATCTTTACATGCAGTACTGGAATGTGGTTCAAGCTTCCTGTCCTCCTCTATTGAACCCCACCTTCCTTCT